TGCTGGCCACATGCGATAGTTCCTGATTTGCACGAAATCCCCTCGCGTTGCGATCACGTAGCTTCACAATAACAACAACAAAGATGGCGCCGCCCTCGCTCGGGCTCAACTATAATAGTTCTCCAAAGGAAGCAAACTTTCAGTGTCTATTCAAATTCTCTATTGTAATATGTTAACAACTAATATAGTTATTATTATAGAAAATTAATTAAGTGAATGATGGTCTATTATGAATTATGAGGAAATACGTTTTTGAACCACAGACGGCAGCTTTATATTCATCCGCGGTACCGGATCTCTAAAATTTCGTCTGCTATTAAAGTTAGCCCTTTTTATTGGTTAGTTTGATAGTCGTGGCTTGCCAGTCGTCTTCAGTTGAATTAAAACTAGGACTTGATTTAGTCGTAGTTAAAACTTCGACTACATTGTTTGTGAATACAAATTGAAGTTAAAGATGCAACTAGCACTAAATGAAGTTCTAGTTCGAAGTTCGACTAAAGTTTGTTTTAAGAATACGGGCGTTAGACTGTAAGCGATATTCTTTTCCTGTACTTTCCAACTTAAAATCAATAGCAGTTGCTAACGATTGCTCGATTAGTTTTGGTTTGCAAAAAATGCAGTGTTTTTTCAATACCTGACGGATTATATTCCACCTCCATAAATTCGTAGGCTGTAGCACTCTGTCTGGTTTCGTTGATAATCTGAATGAGTTCTTGTATTTGATAGTAGTAGTAGTCTGCCTCAGCCGATAGAATATCCCACTCTTGAAAACCGTCTGGGAGGATAAGCTTTGATTGACGGAGAAAGTTTAGAATGTGTCGAAATGTTGGACCGTCTCTGTCAATGATGTAGCGATTGCCATCATCTACGTTTGTTGGCAACCGATCACTGAACATTGATCCTAACAATGAATCCGGATAACGTGTTAACGTAGAGCGACTTGTTGTATAGATGCAACCTCCAACATTCAAATTCACTACCTCGCCCGCCACAACAGGAAAAGCCATAAGTTAGCAGGTCTACTTTACTACTAACACTTGAATTACTTAGGCCTACTCCAAAGAAGTACCAGACGTGATCAGTTATATGAAGCAGCGAAAAAATTGAAAAAGTGAATTGTCAATGGCTTCTACCTTTGACAACTTCCAAATGTAACATGCCTATTTCCAGCAGTTGGGAAAATCCCACTATAATGGGTTTTTTACGCTATAGTATAGTCACGCTGCACTAAAGTTAATGAAGATTATAGTCCAGTCAAAAATCACCTTAACCATGGTATAAGCTCCTACCTCAATGAAACTTAAACTGTAGGTACTATATATAGTGGAAAGAACATATCTTGATGTTGCGTCGTGCAAAACCTGGGATTTAACGAGAAAATTCGAATTTTGTAAGCAGTTTCTACCAGGGTTGCCAGATAGTCGACATGCTTCACGGCCAAACACACGCCATCTCACGGCCAAATTCGGCCAAACTTCAATATCGGCCAAAATTCGGCCAGATTTTAATCCGATTAGAAGACAGTTATGTGGGTACATATTCATTTGAAATACTGCAAAAATTACAGGAAAATCAGGGGCCGTTCGTTTGAAATTGAAGAAATTCAAATAATATACACAGAACAATGTTAAACTTCTTTTAATTAATCTATCACCATAAAATACATGCCCAGCTACATCATAATATTAAATAGCCTAGGCCCTATGTTCTTTAGTTGCTGACGCCCGAAAATAACCTTATGCGTTTGGGCGATCAATTTTTCTTTTTTTTCACCACTCCCCGCCCCCTCCCCAACCCTAAATCCGCTTCTGCTATTTAAAATCACATCATTAAGATTGATTTAAATTGATTTAAATGTATTACATATTAACGTACATTGTAGTCGATCTATAGCAAACATTTTAAGGTCCTGTTATTGGTCAACCCGTTTCTCTCTTTAATTAGAATGAATTAAGTTACATGGTTAGGTAACACAAACTGGCGTTAAAACAAACCTATGAAAACTTTAATACATACTTTTTATCTAAACTTTTTAAATTCGCCTCTGAATTTTATTGTCGCAGTACTCAAAGCAATAAATCAATGTTGCTATCAGAATTATCTTCTTCAATCTCATATGCAACCAGGAGCGGATTTAGGGGGGGGGGGCGGCCCGGCCCCGGCCCCCACTTTTGGGAGGTAAAAAAAGAAAAAAAAAAGAAAAAAAGAAANNNNAAAAGAAAAAAAAAAGAAAAAAAGAAAGAAAAAGAAAAAAATGATAGCCCACTACGCCTCAAATGTTATTTTCCAGCGTCTAGAACACAAAAATTTCGCGGGGGCATGCCCCCGGACCCCCTAAGACATTGTTGTCTCGATCGGCCAAAATTTCGGCCCTTCTTTCGGCCCCCCCCCCCCACTTTTGGACATCTCTAAATCCGCCCCTGGCAACCTAACTCCAGAGTCTCTGCAACACTTGCTTGAAATTGGAGGTGCCATCGGACCCGGATCAGCACATCGAGCATTTATATATGGCGCTCTACATAAAAAAACACTGCAGCACCTAGGGCTATACAATTCAAGTGGGCAATAATAAATCAATTAAGTACAGTATTTAATTTATATTCAAAAGAAATTGAAAAGAGATAGAACCTCCACTAGAAGGGAACATATACAAAGACACACAGTATGGTACAAACTTGCATTGAACTTCATAAAAAATATGTATTTCATCCGAACAATTTAAATTATTAAATGTAAATTATCTTTTAAATAAACTCTCTTACCTCACATCAGCTAAAGGGGGAACATAGATTAAGTGTTTAGTGCAAACAAAGGTACACGATTCAGGGGCGGATCAATGATTTGGAAGAGGGGGGTTCAAAACGTTTCCAAAAATACCCAAAATGAAAGGGGGTCCGGGGGTCCTTCCCATGGAAAATTTCCCCCTTGAATCCTCCACTGTACGGGGAATCCTTTAACGCTCAGGTGACCTAGGGTTTTAAAACCAATACCGTATAGGCCTATACTCACGTATAAACGAGGCTTAAAATAGCAAACTACGATCGAAAGAAGGGGGTCGTCTTATATGCACGACATTCAGATTTTAGATTTTTATATTCACGTTCGTCTTATGTACGGACGTTCGTCTTATGTGCGGATCGTCCGTAAATCTGGTTTCTAATAGGCGATTTATTCACGCGAATCCAAAGCGTCGGCACATGCGCATTCACATTCCTATCGGAGTTTTTGAGAAGCGAAAAAATGCGCGACCAATCAGAGCTCAGGAAGCGATCCGACTCTTTGATTCGCGCGAATAAATTCGCTTAGTGAAAAACCAGCTTAACACGCGAGCTTACTACTGCAATGAAGCAACTAAATGTTGTATCAATGAAAGCAATTTTAAATATGGGAAAATAAGATTTTGGTGGTGAAGTTTTAAAAACTCATAAAATGGTATTATTTGGAAGATTACCCTTGCATTTGGCTCCATTTATCCAACTAGACGCAGTATACAGGACCAAAAAAATTAGGAATTCCGACCATGAAACAGGGAGTCGTCTATACGCCAGACATCAAATATCAACCAAAAATCTTCTAAAACTCGGGGGTCGTCTTATACACGGGTCACCTTATAGGACCTACGCGAGTGTATACGGTATTATTACGGAACCCCTGCGGAAGTTCGGGTTCCCGTCACATTTTAAACGGTTGGTTGTAACAATAAACTCACAAGACTGCTCGCGACTACTAGATTCTACAAGTGCGTGGTTGGCTGGGTTGGTCGGAAAAGAGAAATTATCTCTGTGAATTGATTCTCGTACGAGATAAAGAAAGCTCCCTAATGACTCAAGCTACTGTATACCGTTTTTATATTTTTAATAAAACCAATTTCTTCTAATTTCAAATAGGTTTTCCCCTGATTTTGTGATAATTCGTTATCACGCAAGTGCTAAATGCGTGACACATTTATGGCCTCGCATGTGTTTCTGCAAAATGCGTTTCATCCAATATCACTTTGAAGTGATGCGTGACGGTTGGTAACTATGGCATAGATAACTGCCGGGCCCTAGGTAAAATTGGTAAAAATGCACCTGATCGGACATAGAAACCTCTAGTGGGGTCTACTCGGGCGAAACTCTGAATGCTTATACGTTCTAAGGTTTTTTAAAACAGATACGGTACGACATTAACGCTCAGAAATATCTAAAAAATATTTTGTTAAAAAAATTAAAGAATATTGAGAACAAACTATGGTCAAGTCATGTTATCGTTTAGGGCCTATTAAGCATTTCATGAATCTATGATATATTAT